CCCAGCATCTGGTGATGTCTATGTGTCCAACACTTCAGGCAGTCATTGACTGTAAAGGATTTGCAACCAAGTATTAAAACTGACTGTTTAATTGATGATTATGTTAATTTGTCCAAATACTTATGAGCCCTTAAAGTTGGGGGACTGTGTGAAGAAATGGTTGTAATTCCTCCACGGTTCATACTACATTTTTGAAAAAAGTCTTAAATGAAAGCTGAGAGTCTGCACTTTAAGCAGGTATTCATTGTTTCATTAAAAACCCATTGTGGTGGTGTACAGAGCCAAAATGACGACAACTGTATCATTGTCCAAATAATTATGGACCTGACTGTATATTCTGCATCTGCATGAGAGGAAATAACTCTCCATACCAGCAGGCAGCAGTAGTCTGTGTTCGTCACTAAAAGGGAAACCGTAAGTCTGATAAGACAGATTCAATATGCTGGTTAGCAAGTTTGTACATTAACAATACAACCCAATGTTGAAAGACACGAACAAAAACATTTACAAACTGTTTCTGCTGAAGAGGTCAATGGCTGAAAACAAAATCTCACCAAATATACAAGTTTGTTTTGATCTCATGTCCTCTTAAATTAGAGCAGTTTGTTTACTTTCCTCACTTCCGTTTCTCCTCTCATGGACTGAACTGAACTGCCAATCAAAAATGATGTAATTCACTGATGGGGTCCACTGTGTCTGACGCCGATTCAATATGTTGAATTGCTCGAAACAAAAGCCAACAAGGGCCAAATAGTGCCAACAGTATGGAACACACCACAGAAACTAAAGCTACAGATGCTCACTGACGGCCCTGCGTCAACCAACGGATGACCATCAGCTTGGTGTATTAAGGTCTTATGATTTAAAATCACAAGCTTCTTCTTTTCAGCTTTAAAGCTTTTTCAAAGGTCAGTGTCTGAAAACATAATCTTACCAAGTATACAAGTTTGTTTTCATCTCATGCCCTCTTGACTTTATTTATTTACTTTCCTCATTTCTGTTTCTCTTCTTTTAGACTGAATTGACCAGCTAATCAAAATGATTTAATTTGCCTACGGGCTCCACTGTCTCTGACACCAATTCAATATTCCAGTTTGTCTAAACAAAAGCCAGTAAGGGGCAAATAGTACCAACAGTGAGGAACACACCGCCAAAACTAAAGCAACGGATGCTCACCAATGGCCCGACACTGACCAACGGATGACTGTCAGCTTGGCGTATTAAGGCCTTACGAATTAAAAGTCATGGAATCAACAAAAAAAGAAACATCTACATGATTCCTTTTACTGTATTTACTATAATGTGTGAGAGACCCCTTGTATTTGCAGAGGTTAAATCAGATACATCCAATCTGCTGTGTTTAAACCAAATCTAGTTAAAAGAACTTGTAAACTCAAGCCTGACAGATAAAATGGCCGAGCCATGATATTGGCCGATATTAGCTTATTGCAGATTAGTATCTGCTTCCTCTACAATGGCTACTACCCAGCCAGCCAACTTGAGATTGAAAGCCAATATGAAGGAAATGGTGAAGTTCACAGGGACCTGGCAGCAGCCGAGAATACTCATAATAAACCGCATAATAAATATGCTGTGGTCACGAATATTGGCGGTCCCAGTCACTAAAATATGCCATCACAAAGATAAACCTTGAGGGCTGGGGACCAGGCCAATAGCTGCACAGGAGTATTGAAATATTAATGATAAGCATAACTGCCTCCCATCTCCCATATTCCTGTGTGTGAAGAACGTATTACCTAGCATGTAAATCCAGATGCTGCTCAGATATGCCCTTTCATTTCTCCGTGCTTGTGAGCGATATGAACTGATAACCGTGGAAGCAGAATGTACACAAAACTAAATCTGAGCGAGGGAGTTTATGTGGAACAAAATGCTTGACTGCTTATCCAACTGAAAGCATTGACATCGTAAATCATACTTGTAATGGCTGCTGCATCAAACCAGTTAACAAACCAGCATCATTGCAAGCCACACTTCACGTTGGGCTTCGAGGCACCTGCAATGACACCGGTGGGTTTTTTAGGTACACTAATATGCTGCGGTGCATTCCCCACTCCACAGGCATTGATTTGCACAATGTTCTCATTTAAACTTTTGTGCAGCTTGATGAGCCAGTGTTTCCTGTTGCTACAATTGACCATGTGAGACATAATCTGCATCGCCCGCTGTACTAATTAGCTTCAGCGCTTGGAAAACCGCTGCAAAAATCAACCCATTGTTACCTCTCCAGTTATTTTTCTCTGATAAAAAAGCACAGTTTCATCTGATATAGTTTCCTGGTATTTTGTGGCATTTCAGTCGGGCCTCTCCTGGCCACACCTGAGAGCCCTGCTGACTCATTCTCATTCATGTGTGCACATCTGCTCAGTCCCAGTGTCATGGGTGTGAACCCCATAAGAGAGCCCCGCTGGCCAGTGACAAGAAATGCGATTGGTTGGCTGAGCAAAGTGACATTTGCAGTTCAGCGGCGAAGGTTATCGTGTCTGCAGATCCTCACGTGCAGTGGGTAAAAAAAATAATAAAAAAAGCTTATTTTCCCAGCCCAGATATGAAAAGGTAACATTTGCTGGAGTGGTTTGTAGACGGGAGGAGGGGGGGCTGAGAGAGGGAGGCTGTGCAGATATGTATCAGGAGGGAGGAGATGTGTCTGACATTCTAATGTATGTTTGGCGATAACAGAGTCGGGATAGGGGTGGAGGGGGGGAATTGCTATGATCTTGATGAAAAAAATACACCATTTCTTGTGGAGTGGAGAGTGTGAGTGCACCTGGGAATAAACAGGCTGCGGTCACCTCCTTAGGCTGAGGCTGCCCTTAGCACAATCCATCTGGAATTACCTCACTGTGGTCTGCAACACACTCAAGGCTAGGCACAGATCTCCCTCCATTTTTCACACTGTTGCCAGTGCATCTTGCACACGAAGCAATCTCAGACACAGAAACTGCACTGA